GGGTATATCTTTTATACCAGGGGTCCCCAACCGCCGGTCCGCGGACCGGTACCGGGCCGCGGAACAAGCCTTACCGGGCCGCTGGTTGCTGGGCGCCGCCATCTTTTTTTGGTAAAAAAAAGCAATTTTTCGTCAAAAAAGATGGCGGCGCCAGCGCTTCGGGTGAGCTTTTCCGGGTAGAAAGCCATTTCTACCCGAAAAAGCTCACCAGAAGCGCTGGCGCCGCCATTTTTTTTGACGAAAAATCACTTCCGGTGACGTCACCGGAAGTGATTTTTCGTCAAAAAAAGATGGCGGCGCCCAGCTGACGCCGGAACCGGGCCGCGGCGCCCAGCTGACGCCGGAACCGGGCCGCGGCGTCGAAAAGGTTGGGGATCCCTGTTTTATACTACTGAAAGATATCACAATAGTTATTTTACAGCAGCTCTCTACCCCAATTAAGGGACTATAGAGTCATAAAAAAAACCCAACTGTTGTTGTCTTTTATGTTTCTGTAAAGTACAATCAAATAATATTAGGTTCTTGAATTTTATTTTTAGCACTTTAATATCATTTGTGAAAAGGAGAAATAGAAATTTAAGGAACAAGTATGTGCTCAATTGACTTTCATCAAAATATTTGGAATTTTGGATGGCTACGGAAAGTTTATCAATAAAATATTTTTGATTTTTTAATTAAGCCCAGTTGGATCTGGCATTATTTACTTTATTTTAAAAATAAGCAATAACTATGAATCCTTAATTGAGCATGCATGCAAATCTCATTCTCTGTATATAATGGCTGGGTACTTTCTTTGAATTTTTCAGAAATGATACTGTAGTTTGCTCTATAGGTTCACAATCTCATTTCTTTGCATAATGTAAAACAATGTAAAAACAATAGTCCCTGATCTGAATTCTTTATGAACACGCACACAATCTCCCATGCATGCATACATACATACATCTGTAGATATATTAATAGGGGTTTTATTGGTATTGAAGACCTGGTTTTGCCAGCGGGCCTGGGAAACCCAGAGAGGGATGGAACCCATCAAATGGCTAGTGTGACCTGCTGTCGTCGGGGTGGGGGGGGTGGGAGTTGGTTTTTGTTTTTGTTTTTTGTTTTGTTTGTTTTTTTCCCCAAATTTTGTTCTATTGTACTTTACTAATTTATTTGATTCTTTTTGTTAATTCTTATTGTTTTTGTTTTTATTTTTTGTTTTAAATATGATTTTACGTTGTATAAGCCGCCTTGAGTCACCATGGGCGAATAGGTGGCAATATAAATCAAATAAATAAATGAATAAATTCTTCTAAAAAACTGAATGGTTTTCTTGAAAGATTTATATTGTGGCAAAGATTTGCAAGCATTGATATTTTGAATGAAATGTTAATATACCAACTGTAATTGGTGAGTGTCAAATAATTATACTTTCTCTTTTAAGATAAATTAAATATTAATAAATTTGGTGGCACAGAAAATGTCACCAAATATGGTTTTTAAAAACTTACCTGATACAAATGACTACATCTAAATCACAAAAGATTTGGTAAAATGAAATATTTATACAATTGTTTTGCAAGACTTTTTATTAATTGGCTTTACATATAACTCGGCTTTTTAGTTGGAAAATTGTTGCTAAAATATATAAACATGAAATTTGTTAGTAAATCATATTTTTTTTCATAGTCCCCAATAAGGATTCTTTTGTTTTGGTTTTTTATTTCAATCCATATACTATACTGTTAAATAGTTTTCTGAATTATTTAATGAATATTTTTGCTAATAATTAAATCTGGAAATATTGATGGTGATGGAAGAATCTCCTCATATTATATTCAGTTATTTTAATTACAGATCAACAATTTGATATCCAGTTGATCAGCTATTAATATGCTAAGCCTCGAAAAGCTAGCCTGGCATATTAAAAGCATTATTCAGCATCAATTCACCTATAATACAGTTTTAGAATAACTTCCAAACAGAAACAAAAGACCCTTCCCTTTGCCATAGAATATTTCAAGTGCTCCTGGAACAAAGCATAACCCACCCAATCCTGGGAAAAGAAGATAGCCAATTCATCTGTTAGGAAGACTTTCTATAAGAAATGTCAACATGTCCTCCAACAGTGTTTGCATTCCACTTTATTCAGGTACTAACCATTAATGCCTGACCTTTTTCTTGCCTCAGAGCACACTATCATACATTGTTAAAAACTTTTCTATTCCTGCTGTGTTACTTTACTTCAGAAGAGCCGGTCCTTCATGAATTTATATAATATATTGTATTAGCAAGCAGATTGAATACAAATACTTTCATTTTTGTTAATGTCTATTCTTATTCTCATTTTCAACCTGTCCCTTTATTATAACAGAATTCATTGAAGAAAAGGTGGAAAACTAACCTATATACGCAGGGATGTTTAAAAGACACCCTTAAAGGATTAAGCCCAGATTTTCAAGTGCTGTAAGATAGCAATTTATCTCTGAAAGTATATGAAATGTACTGTTAGAATGCTACTGTTAGAAGCTAATTTTTATTCAATATTACAGCAAAGGACAAACAGTTAAATTCATTTTCTGTCTTGATCTCATTGATTAGCCCTCTATAGGGGATGATACAGTTTGTATTTATAAAAAATATTCTTGTCACTTTTTTGTACATCTTTATTCCCCCCTATCTATTTAAAGGTAATTATTTAAAAGTACATATTTATTAAATTTATGTGATACTCCTTTGATGATACTCAGTGGTTTACAAAATATACAGTGGAAAGAGTAAACAAAAATAACATGCACAACATTAAATCATTAAAAGGCCTGGATTAGTGTTTATTTCAAAAGTAGGATAAATAATGCCCCTGGAGTTTGTGGATTATCTATTTCCTACCTTTTTTCTATTTACCTTTTTTTCTATTTTAAAACAAACATTGCTCTTTTAGTTATTAAAATAAGGCCACAGAAAACTGGAGACCATTATATATACAAACAACAACAACAACAACAACAACAACAACAACAAGGAAGCATTTTGCTGTCATCTAGTAGTTATCCAGTTTCTTGCAGTCATAGTCATTTTCAAAGTTACGATCTCAATTTGCTTCATTCTCTTTTTCTTTTCCTTTGTTAAAGAAGGAAACAGGGCCCTTATGATTTAAATGGAGAAAAGAAAAGAAAAAGCTAGACCTATGTTTCTCTGTCCTTGTTAATTTTATCCTTTTTCTGCTTGCCCACTTTTATTCCCTCTTCTTCCAACTTCACAAAAACAGTGGAAGAGGGGGAAAGGGGAGAGCTATCAGTTTAGGATATTGTTAATTTATTTCTGCCTACATCAGAACATTAGCATCAGAGTACCGTAATTTATTGTACGGGTCACCTTGGTAGAAAGCAGCTTCCAATTTTCCAGCTATAAAAAACAGAAATAAAAATAGCAAACATGCATCATGAAAATATCAAAATGTTTGGTTCAATAAAGAAGTTTTCCCTTGGTACCTGAGAGATATTAAGGGAGTAACAGAAGCCTCTTGGTTAAGTCTCTTAGGTTGTTTTATAGGGATGATGGCAACTTGGGGGGAGATCAGGGCTTTATTACATATTTATGTACAAACTATACAGGTTTTTCTGCCTAAGCTTAGTACTTAGTGTTGCTCTCCTCTATTATTTATGTCTGTTAACACCTTCTTGCTTCATTTATTGCCTTACAGCTTCAGTCTAAAGACATTTATTATATCCCCTCCTTCTCTGTCCTTTTTCTTTCCGCAAAGTCACTTGCTTTTCTCAACAAGCATCTCTGAACTTGAGGTCAGTGGGTTTCAATAGGCACAGCAGTCCTTCGTCTTCTGTTGACAAGACACCATTCTGCTTTTTCAGCCACCTTCCTTTTCCCAATCTCGTCGAGGGGGAGGGGGTTTCCTCTGGGAGAATGCAGGGACTTTTTTTATTTTTGCCAGACTTATCCCATCCCTTTACTGATTTCACTCAGTTGCTTTCCAGGTCCTGGTTCCTCCAGCCACCCCAACCACCCTAACCCTTAACGGACTGTTCTTTATGTTTTCTATTTCTCTTGCCTTTCTTTCTTTCTTTCTTTCTTTCTTTCTTTCTTTCTTTCTTTCTT